GCTCTAGCAGGCCTGGGGTAGGGCCAATGTGCTAATGTCAGAAAAGCTCCAGATGATGCCATGCCTGAAGGTCTGAGGACCACACTCTGAGCAGTAAGGGCAGAGAGGATGGAGAACAGCAGGCAGGAACCAGGCATCCTGAATGTTCACCTGGGTTCTGCCCTTCAGCCTTGACACACTCACTTCCATCTCTAAGCTTCCATGTCTCTACCTGGAAATGGAACCAGAGGCACCCAACTGGTAGTACCTTGTCCCATTTCCTTTCCCCTTCAGCTCTTGAGTCTCCACCTCCCTCAGCACTGACCAGTGTACCCCAGGGCCCTGTTCTAAGTGTGGTCCAACCCACCAACCTACAACAACCAGAAGGAACAGGTGCTTAAGACAGGAACAGTGACCTGCGCAGTAAGACATGGTGGGGATCAAGATTCAGAGCCACGTTGACTTCCCACAGAGTTACCTCCAGGTGGACTGTCATCCCTGGTCTGGGCTAACACCCTCACCCAACTCCCATCCTTGATTTGTCAAGCAAGGGTCTATCCCAGGCTTGCCTCCTTGCTCTGGGTGCTCCAAGTTCAATGGTACCTGCTCATCTTCCCCTATTTTCATTTCCTTTTCTTCTCTCCCAGTAAACATTTCAAGTACCTGTGGAGGCTGGGCTGTGTACCAAGTTTCAGGGTCCAGATCAGCATCTATCCTGGGAAGAACCTTGGGGAAAAAAAATATCTGGCCTCTGTTCCATCCCAGTTAAAAGACGGGAAGACAGAAACCCAAAAGAAAAGCAACTTTCCCAGGACCAAATACAGAGTTAGCCTCTGAGCCAGAGATGCCTTGAGCAAGTCTCTGCCGCCTGCTCAGCTGCATCTGCCAAGCCTGGTGGTGGAAAGGCAGCTCTGATCCATGTTGGGGCACTAGTGACTGAGAAGCGCAGTTCCCAAGGGCAACATGGAGGCAGACAATGGTGAAGGCAGCCTGTGCTCCTTTCTCCCTAAAGCCTCTTTGTTCCAAAAGCCTCCTTTCCCTGCAGGTCAAGGATGAGCTCCCCACCTCAGGCTTTGACAGTCCACAGGCTATTCCCCATAAGCAGCCCTTGTCCTCATTCCTGGCCTGGCTTCATCAGTCCCTGTTGGGATCCCTCTCAGCACCCTTGGGTCAATCTCCTGAGCTCCACCTGCCATCCTAATGGGCACTGGCCAGGAAAGTCCCACTTGTCACTCTCTTGTCCTACTCAATCTCCCTTTCCTCTCTCTCCCCTTCCCCTTCCTCCTCTTTATCCTTTGGAAGTCAGAATGAATCTGAATCCTTATAGGTATTTGCACAGCCAACCCAGATCATGGCTATATCTGGCAAACCATTTCTCCAACATAGGGCCATATCTGATCTTTGCATGAGCCATGATGCTCTGAAACTGATCTCTGGGACAAGATACCATAAATACCAGTGACCCTTCAGTGACCATCACTCTCTCTGAGCTCTTGTTCTCCCCCTACCCCTAAGGGACAGATCAAAGACCGCACTGATTTTCCTCCACCCCCATGTCAGAACAGGTATTGTCCAGCACCTTTACCATGGACCTATAAACCTCAATCAAGCCAATCTAGCTATCTAAGAAGATGAGGGATCTCTTATAATATGCCTGACTCAATTACTACCCTAAATCTTAATGTGCCCCAATTCTCCACGTGCCCCAGACCCTTCACGTGCTCCAGAATTTTGATGTGTTCCAAAACTTACACACCCCAGAACCTCCACATACCCCAAAATCTGCCTGTGCCCCAGAATCTTTGTATACCCTAGGATTTCCTCATACCCCAGAATCTCTCTGTGCCTCAGAACCTCCATATACCCTATAACTTCTAAATATCCCAGAATCACCATATAACCCAGAAGCTGTATGTATCCCAGGACCTTTGTATTCCCTGGAATCTCTCTTCTTGAATCCCTGCATGTCGGCACAGCAAGAGCCAGGCCCAGGCAGTTGTACATGTGCTACTAAGGACCATGTGCAGGTAGGTATCTCAAGCAGATGTTCTGACATAACTTCCTTAACCAAGAGTGCTCTGAAGATGCCCTAGGCCCACACAAGACAGGCACATGGGACACATGTAGTGCTCTCCATAGGGGCCCATTCTGACACCATATCTGATACACACAGAGTTTAAGGGGGTCCTTACACAACCCCACAACCCACCCAGTATAACAATAACAGAGTAAAGACACAGGACCCTGAAACCCCATAAAACTGGGTCACTCCACTCAGGCTACTGGCTGTGTGCTGCTTACGGAACCAGTGAAGTTCTCAGGAACTAAATCAAAATAAAAATCCATTTTGGTTAGGTTCATCGGGAAACAAAGAACACAGAGGCCTGTGCATCTTTTGGTCTCAGGGACTTCCAGATGCTGAAGGATGATAAACAGCCAAACAGATGCATTTCCAAGAGAAAAGCCTTTTGTGGTCAGTCATTTTGAAATGAGATCCAGGCGCTCTCATCCTCCTCCGCAGTAACCAGATGACAGCATCAAAGGTGTCTGTGGTAGGCCTTGGACATTGGCCTTAGAAGGCTATGATATATATGATATGTGGGAAATTCTGCCCCCAGTACCTTTATCCGGGTAATTCCATCCCTACCCCTCCACTTCAGTTTCCTTATCTATAAAATGAAAAGTGGAACCAGGCAATTTCCAAGACACCTCCAGTGCTTAAAAAAATCGATAGCCCTGCATTTGACCAACCACCTCCTTGAAGACTTTTAAGTCCCCAAGGATACTTACTACTGTGTCCTTGGATGTATTTGACTCAGCAGAAGTAACATGACCACAGATGACACAGTGGTGTCATTACTTTTATTTTTTTAATATTTATTTTTTAGGTGTAGATGGACACAACACAATGCCTTTATTTTCATGTGGTGCTGAGGATGGAACCCAGGTCCCGCCCGTACTAGGCAAGCACTCTACTGCTGAGCCACAATCCCAGCCCATTACTTTTATTAATGACAAAAGGGATGGTACCAAAAAAAATGATGGTAATATGTCCACACACAGAGACATATACACATATTAGGGTGTCCTATGTTCTAGTGCTGAATGTGAACCCTCATGAGGGACATGTGCTAGGCACAGCCCCTTATTTAAGCATAAATCCTTTCTCTTCATAATCCCATGTCCAGCACAAGAGGATTGGGAAGAATTCAATCAAATCAAACTGATCATCACAGAGCCCTCTACAGGTTGCTATAGCTGCATCCACATTGTAGTCCAAGAAACTGAGGCTTAGGGCCAGTAAGTGTCTTATGATGTTGGAATTATGATGCAGGATTTTCACCCACACCAAGAAAGTCCGGGCAAGAGCTGGGCACCATAGCAACTACCTGCTTAGTAGACACCTCCTAGACCCCCCATGACATGTGCAGTGCCAACAGCTTTCTGAATAATGCTTTATAATTCTTAAAGAAACACTGCAAGTCAGCACCCTCCCTGTTCAGAACTGGTCTTCATGACTGGCTGGTCAATAGGAACTATTTCTTCAGGTCCTAGTCCCAGCAGTGGGCAGGCCCCCAAACTCCTACTCTGTGCAGCCTAAAGGCAGCTCAGGTCACCAATGTGTCAGGATCCAGAGCACAAATGATCACCATTCCTGGAAGTTGGGAAACTCAGCTCTTTCCTTCCAGAGGGCAGATTGAATTCTGGTCCCACCTCTGCAAATTACTTATGACCATGAATACATTTTGCCTCTCTCTGACTTTTGCTCAGGCCAGGATAATACCAGGCAGGTCTGTGAGAGGCTGGACCTGGCCCCCACTAGGGAACCTGGCCCTTAGGCAAGGGGGACAGTGGGAACCACCAAAACAGGACAAAAAGGTAGACCTTGGAGACTGGGTCCATAAAAGACCCAGATATATTAAAGAGGAAGATTTTCATAGTTTCTTACTGCACTCCTTTTCAATTTCATGCTGGAGGTGGCCGGGAGAATCTCGGGTTCCCTCAGAATGAACTGGGGATTTTCCTTCCACCATGAAGATCAAGACTGCAATCAGAGGGTCCTTGCATTGAAGGCCTGCTGAAATCCCAAATAGGTATACTGATTTCTAGAAGTAGTCACATGCCTTCACCCTTTTAACACAAAAATCCACCCCAGACTGGCTCCAACTCTGGATCTGAACAGAGACCTCTTCAATAGAAGGAAAGTCACCACTAAGCCTGGTGCACCCTTTCCCACCTCACTTATTGAATCCCAGATTTTAAATGCTGGGGAAACAGGCCCACCTTTTCATTTTACAGCCAAGGAGGCTGCAGCCAGAAGAGGAAAGCAGAAAGAACCCAAGAGGCAACAGCCCTGGTGGATAGATCCTGAGTCACTGATACCCAAGCCAGGGCCCTCCCCATCACCAGCTTCCCTCTCGCTTGCCTAGAAGCTCCACCAAAGCCCCTATATCAGACACACACACACACTCACATATATACATTACACACGCATACGTGTAAACGCACCCTCTTATTCTTGGATAATTTCTTCAGTAAGCTATTTCAAAACAAGTTTTTAATTTAATCGATTCCCATTTTGTAAGCTATGTTTCTCACTGAGTCTGTTTTCTCTCTGGAAAAGAACTCGGGTAGAAGCTGTCAGAAAGGCCAACGCTACCAAGGTCAGGAGTCCTCCAACCCACAGACTCGCACAGTGTGCACCACTCATCAGGATGGGGAACTCACTACCTCCCCCTCAGGTAGGGAGATGGTACCCCAGGCTTGGGACGTCGCAGCAGCCCACAGGAAACCCCGCGCCTCCCCTGATGCACAGGTCCTTAACCCTCAGATCCTCTGATGTCAGGGAGATCCAGGACCCTCCAGCAGAACCTGGGGGATGCTCTGGGGTCACCGCACGTCGCTTCTGAGCTCCAAGGAAGGGGAGGTGCGCAACCTAGGCGCAGCGGGGGAAGGCGAGGGTTTGCGCGGCCCCGGGGCCGTGAGAGGCTGGAGGGCCCCGGGGCCCAATTTCCCCTTACCACAGAGCAGCAGCAGCAGCGGGAAAAGATGCAGCCGCAGCGCTTGCTTCTCCATGGCCAGCGGGACTCCGGACGGCTTGTCCGGGTCTGGGCTCTGTGGAGCGCAGTGGGGTGCGGGGCGGGGCCGCGGGAGCCCACTCCCTCAGGCCACTCCCACAGTCGCGCCCCCAGTCTTCGCCCTGGCCACGCCCCGGTCACGCCTGAAGTAGGAGGTGCAGCCCAAAATGCGCAAAGCACCATCCCTCCGACTGAGGGGCGGGGGAAGCGAGTGCTCTGGATTCTGGGCTGGAGTCAGAACCAAAGTGAGAACGGGATGTGGGATTGGACAGGGAAGGAGGGGGTGAAGAAAGGCTGCAATTCAGACCGGGGGCCGTACAAAGTGGGGACAGACTTCAGGGACAGCCTGGGCAAAGGGCTGGGGTGAAGATGGGATAAGGATGGAGTGTGGACTGATGGAGAATTGGGGGACAGGCTGGTGGGGTCAGACTGGGAAACCACCAGGGGTAGACTGGGTGGTGGATAGACTTGGGAGGACCTGGAGTGCAGCCTGGCAAAGAGGAGGACAGAATCCTGGGTGGGAACTTGGTAGGGAAGAGCGTTTGTGCAGAGACAGATTGGGAAGTCAAGTCTCCAAGGAACAGGAAAGGGTATGAAGAAGGTTGCTATGCAACTGGGATTGGGGAGGGGGGAATGACACATGTGAGCTTTCGAGCCTGAGGCAATGTGTGAATTTGTGTGCACATGTGAGACTGTGTATAAGAGGGGGTGAGTGTGTGTGTGGCAGGAGCACACACAAATGGTTAAGCCAGGAACAAACTTGGGGGTATTTCAGCAACTGGCACCCACAAAGCCCTGGCCTCTCAAGAGCATCAGGGACCCTGAGGACTGGGAGGGCCTTTTCCTCTAGCCGCAGGTCATTTAGTCATAGGACGGGTCACCTCTGTTACCTTCAGCCCCTACTCTGCACTCTTTTCCCATGTGCTGGGTCAGCTCCTGCCTCCCCAGGCTAGGTGGGGCAGGGCCCCATTTCTGCCATCTTGTGTTCTTTAGGCTCCTCTCTAACCTATCATAATCCATAATTCTTTATACCAAAGTTTCCTATCCAAATGACTATGTGGCGTCTCTCTTGATCAAACCCTAACTAATACACTATTATATGTATTCTGAAATTCTTTCTCTTAAATTGTTTTAAAAGAAGTTTTCATTGACAATCAAGTAGACTCTAAATGAGGACCTTGTGATCAAATAACATGATACTTCTACCAAATGGGAGAAATGCATGGCATCTCAGCCTGTATTATTTCTGGATAATACACTTCTGCTGTATGCCCACTTGTCCCTGCTGCAACAGCCAGTTGAGGTCTCCAACCTTTTGCTTATTCTGAGTATTAGAATTTAAGAGGATTTGGCTTGATGTTGAATAGAGGAACTATTCCCAGATGCTTGGCTCCCTCTGCTGGAAAGACTTTCAAATGACAGTGCATCCTCTATCTCCATTATGAGGTGCCTGTGTCCCTCAGATGGTACACAGCAGAGGTCCTGTCTCCAAAGAAGGGGTGATAGGGGAAGATTTTGGGAGAAGTACCATTGGCCCCCAGATGTTTCTCACTTGCTCCCAATTTAATACATAACTTTCCATTATATATATATATATATATATATATATATATATATATATATATATGTGTGTGTGTGTGTGTGTGTGTGTGTGTGTACACTTTTTTCCCCTCAGTACTGGGAATGAACCCAGGGCTTCCCACATACTGAGCAAGCACTCTACCACTGAACTACATTCCCATTCATTTTTTAAAATTTTTATTTTGAAACAGGGTCTCCACTGAGTTCCCCAGGCTGACCTTAAATTTGCCATCTTCTTGCCTCATTCTCCCAAAGAGCATGCACCACCATGCCCAGCACATTTTAATTTTTAATTGACGTATAGTAATTGTGCATGTTTATGGGGTACATTGTAGTATTTCAATACATGTATGTAATGTGCAGTAATCAAAGCATGGTAATTAGAGTCTCTGTCACCTAAGACATATATCATTTCTTTGTGTTGGGAACATTCAAAATTCTCTTTACTAGTTGTTGTCAACCATAGTTATCCTCCTGTGCCAAAGAACATTAGAAGTTAGCCCTCCTATGCAACTGCACCCCTGTACTTGTTAACTCTCCTCTTTCAATCTCTTCCTGCCCAGCATCTTTCCCAGACTCTTGTAACCATTGCTCTTTTCTCTACTTTGAGGTCAACTTTTTAACTTCTACCTTTCTATGCCTAACATATTTCACTTAGCATAATGTCCTTCAGTTCCATCCATTTTGCTACAAATGATAGAATTTTATGGTTAAATAATATTTCATTGTGTATGTATTCCACATTTTCTTTATACATTCATACATCCATGTACAATTAGATTGATTCCATATCTTGACTATTGCAAATAGTGCTGCAATAAACATTATGAGTATAGATGTCTCTTCAACACACTGATTTTAATTAATTCCTTTTGGACATATCCTCAGTAAAGGGATTGCTAGATCATACAGTAGTTCTATTTTTAGTTTTAGGGGACCTCCATTTTTTTCATAATGCCTGTACTAATTTCCATTTTCATCAACAGTGCACAAGAGTTCCCCTTTCTCTGCATCCTCACCAGGACTTTTTATTTTTCATCTTTTTGATTATAGTTATTCTGATTGGAGTGAGACAATATCTCATTGTGGTTTTGATCTACGTTTTACTGAAGATTAGTGGTGTTGAGCATTTTTTCACCTACTTATTGGCCATTTGTATATCTTCTTTTGAGAAATGTGTATGTAGGTCATTAGCCTACTTTTGACTGGATTATTTACTTTTTGATGTTGATTTATTTAAGTACCTTAAATGTCTGGAAATTAATCCCTTATCAGATGAATAGTTTGCAAACATTTTTTTTTCTATTCTGTAGGTTGTCTCTTCACTCTACTGAGTGTTTCCTTTGCTCTATAGAAGTTTTTTAGTTTGATGTAATCTATTTTTTAAATATTTTCCCCTTAGTTGTTGGTAGATCTTTATTTTATTTATTTATACTTGGTGCTGAGACTCAAACCCATATCACACATGCAAGGCAAGTGCACTACCACTGAGCCACAGTCCCAGCCCTTGATGTAATCTCTTCTGGTGCTTTTTGTTTCCTGTGCTTTCAGAGTCATAGCCAAAAAATAATTTGCCCAATGTCCAGAGCATTTTCCCCTATATTTGTTCTATATAGTTTCATAGTTTCAGTTCTTACATTTAAGTTTTCCATCTATTTTTAGTTGATTTTTATATATGAGAGATAAAGATCTAGTTTCTTTCTTCTGCATATAGAAATCTAGTTTTCCCAGCACTATTTACTTGAGAAGACTGACTTTTCTATAGTCTTGCTGCCTTTGTTGAAAATCAGTTGGCTGTAATTAAGTGGATTTATTTCTGGGTTCTCAATTCTATTCTATTGGTCTGTGTGTCTGTTTTTGTGCCAGTGCCTTGCTGTTTTGCTTACTACCACTTTGTTATATGTTTGAAAGCTGGGTATTGTAGTGCCTCCAACTTTGTATTTAGGGACTTTTGTAGTTTTTTACAAATATTAAGAGTGTTTTTCTATTTCTGTAAAGAATGTTTTTGGTATTTAATAGGAATTGCATTGAGTTTGTAGACCACTTCCATTCCATGAACATTGAACATTTTGAGTGTGTGTGTGTCCTCTTCAATTCCTTTCATTCATATTTTGTAATTGTCATTCATTTTCTTGGTTAAATTTATTCCCAGGTATTTTTTGGAGATATCATGAGTTGGTTTAATTTCATGATTTCTTTCTCAGAAAGTTTGTAATTGATTATAAAAATGTTTCTGATTTCTCTATATTGGTTTTGTATCCTGCAACCCTAATGAATTCATCTTAACATTTTTCTGTGCATAAAGTTGCCATTTGCAAATAGGAATAATTTGACTTCCTCCTAAAGAGTATTTTATTTCTTTCTCTTGTCTCATTGCTCTGGCTAAAACTTTCAATATTATATTGAATAAGAGTGGTGAAGTGGACATCCTTATCTTGTCCCTTATCTTAAAGAAAATTATTTCAAGGCTGGGGTTGTGGCTCAGAGGGAAAGTGCTCACCTGGCATGCGTGAGGCACTGGGTTCGATCCTCAGCACCACATAAAAATAAAATAAAATAAAGAAGGTATTGTGTCCACCTACAACTAAGAAATATTTTTTAAAAAAGAAAAGAAAATGATATCTTTCCATTCCATGTGATACAGGCTATGGGTCATCAAATGTATCCCTTATTGTGTTGTGGTATATTTCTTCTATAACTAATTTCTCAAGGTTTTTTTAGCATGAAGCTAAAAAATATTAGCAAATGCCTTTTCTGCATCTTTTGAAGTGATCCTATGGTTTTGATCTTTTGTTCTGTTGATGTGATATAGGTGTCTATATTCTACTTGATCCTGGTATATAATATTTTCAATGTGCTATTGAATTCAATTTTTTTAGTATCTTAAGAATTTTTGCATCTACATTCATCAGGGATACTGGTCTGTAGTTTTTTGTGTGATTGTTGTGCCCTTGTCTGGTTTTACTATCCAGGTAATACTGGCCCCATAAAATAATTTTAGAAGGGTTCCCTCCTTTTCAATATTTGGAAATAGTTTGAGAAAAATTGGTATTAGTTCTTCTTTCAAAGTTTGGTAAAATTCAGCAGTGAAACCATCCAGTCCTAGGCTCTGCTTTGTTAGGAGACTTTCTTCTATTGATTCAATCTCATTACTTGTTACTGATCTGTCCAGGTTTTCTGATATCATGCTTCAATTTTAGTAGGTTAGATGGGCTCATAAATTTAACTATTTCTTCTAGGTTTTCTAATCTGTTGGTGTATGGCTGTTCATAGTAGTCCCTAATGATCTTTTGGTTGTTTGTTGGGTTTGCGGTACTGGGAATTGAACTCAGGGGCATTCTACCTCTGAGCTACGTTTCCAGCCCTTCTTTTTTAATTTTATTTTGAAAAAATATCTCACAAAGTTACCCAGACTGGCCTCTACCTTGCAATCCTCCCACCTCAGCCTCCCAAGCAGCCAAAATTACAGGCATGCACTGCAGTATCTGTTGTAATGCCTCCTTTCTCATCTCTGATTTT